TCTCTCTCTCTCTCTCTCTCTCTCTCTCTCTCTCTCTCTCTCTCTCTGTGTGTGTGTGTGTGTGTGTGTGTGTGTGTTTTGCATGAGACTGAAAACAGTCTTAGGCATCATCTTCAAGAAAGCTGTCCACTTCTTGAAACAGTTTCTTACTGGCCTGGAACTTAACCACTTAGGCTAAGTTGGCTGTTAAGCCTTTTACAGGAACCTATACAGTCCTCTGTCCTGCTTCCCCCCTCTCGCCTTCCTCCCTCCACACCTGGGTCCAGGCTAGAACTCAGGTCCTTGTACCTTGCATTTACTTTACTAATAGGGCTATTATCACCAACTGAAGTTCAGTGTTCTGAGCATTAAAAACAGACGGGGAAAAAGGAGCTGGGTATGCCAGCAAACAGGTCTGTGATCTCAGGACTCAAGAGTCTGAGGCAGGAGAATATCAACCTGAAAGTCATCCTTAACTACTTAGCAAAATTTCTTAAGACTTTAAACTGGCCAGGCAGTGGTGGCGCACGCCTTTAATCCCAGCACTTGGGAGGCAGAGGCAGGTGGATTTCTGAGTTCGAGGCCAGCCTGGTCTACAGAATGAGTTCCAGGACAGCCAGGGCTACACAGAGAAACCCTGTCTTGAACACCCGCCCCCCCCCAAAAAAAAAAGACTTTAAACTGTATGAGCACAGATGCCTTGGAGCATGCAGCAGTCATGAGCCACCTGATGTGGTTGGGACAGTCTTTTCCTTCTCAGAGTAGCAGAAGAAATAATTCCTTTAAAAAAATCCCCTCCTCCCCACCCCACCTCCTATGGAACTGGCCTGGTGACAAAGGCTATATAATCCTAGCTACCTGGAAGCTCAGGCAAGTTCAAGGCCAACTTAGACAACTTAATGAGACCCTGTCTCATTTGAAAACTCAAAAGGGCCGAGGGTGTATTTCAGTGGTAAAGTTATTTATCCAGTATGCTCAAAAGAACTTTCTCAGGACAGTACCTTTTGAAGCCAATACCTTTTTGATTGTAAGGAGGGAAATCTTGCAGTTCCAGCTCTCAGGAGGGTGAGAGGCAGGAAGATCACTAAGAATTCAAGGCCAGCCTGGACTACAAAGTGAGTCTCAGGAAACAAAACAAGAGATGAGCACTCACTGGCTGCTCTTGGCAAAGACCTGGATTTGGTTCCCAGCACCGGCATGGTAACTCACAACCACCTCTAACTCTAGTTGAGACTAGAGGATGTGAGGCCCTCTTCTGGCCCCCTTGGGTACAGGCACACACACAGTACACAGACATACATTCAGGCAAACACCCACACATATTAAATAATAATAGTAATGATGATGGAAAAGATGGGTTAAATTATTTGACTATCTAGCCTCTATATACTTTTTAAAACTAAGGGAAAAAATCAAGAAAATACGAACTTCAGTTAGTAACTCCAGATACCTAATCAACCTGGTGATAACTAACGCAACAAATTACTACATGTGAATCATGATATTTTAAAGAAGAAAACATAACAAATAACTTTGCGAATAAGCCCACACAAATTATTTTCTATATTTATTCATAGAGCCTCAGCTACCCATTTCCCTTTCTGCTCAGAGCCTCAAGTGGCTTTTCCACTCACTCAGAATGCAATTCCATGAGTCTGAACAATCAGACCCAGTTCCTTTTTTTATGGTCTTCTTGGGGTTTTTTCCAAGCTGGCTTCTGCTTCTCAGCATCCAGCTTTCCTTCTGTCATATGTTTATCAGTGATAGTCACACAACCAGTCTTTCACTATCTGACCTGGTGGGGGAGGGGTATAAAAATGCCCCTAAAGCCTTCACAATCAGCTATTAAAGACAGGGCACCACCAGGCCCACCCCCTGTTCTATTTTCTCCCATCACTAGCCCAAACCCTTTTTAGAGCCTGTCCCTTTTAATACAACTAGCAGAATACACATTTGACTTGCTGTGCCCTCAGATTCGGGTTTTGGATCTATAACGGCCATGCAGGTTACCTGTTTTACAAAGGGCTGAACTGTACCTAAGCACACTTAAATATTTGAATGAGCCAGGATCACTCCTGTGAGCTTAACAGCTAGGCAACTCCATAGGATCTACACATGTTGGTTCCAGCCAGTCTCTATCGGTACACTTCTGAGTTTCAGTCTGGCTACTTTTAAAACTGTTTTGTGCCTCCTATTAGCTACCACAGCTCAGCTGTCTCTCAGTGAGGCCTAGCCTCACTTCAAGTGTACAGCAGGTCTATAAAGTAAGAGCATATACAAACAGAGTTGTTCTGCTTTAGTCCAGACAAGAATACCATCCTGGATTTTTCAAGGGCCTCTTAGCTCCCTCCTGGATCTGTCTCCAGAAGGAAAAGGTTGCTAGTTATTAGTCCAAAAATATAAATTCTGACATTATCAATCTTATATCATAATGTTACTAAAAAGTGTTGGTATCTCCTTCATCTATAAGTCAAAGAATTGTTTTATTAAATTGGAAGAGGAGGAAGGGATGAGGGCAACAAACTGAAGGAGGCTTTGTTTTTTTTAAAGACCAAGTCTCATGTAGCCAGGGGGTCTTGAACTTCTAACCTGCCTGCCTCTTACCTCTTGAATGCTGGGAGTTTCTTATATGATGAAGAATGAGCCAGGTGTGGTGGCATGCGAATTCAGGCTCCACTTTTTATGTTACACGATTCAAGAATCAAATTACTTTCACACAGTACTTACTATACACAGATGTTCAGTGTGGACTTCTGGCCCAGACTGCATAAACCAGGACACTGTAATAACTTACAACCTCATGAGTATCCTCTCCCAATTCAGGCTTCCCCTGAAATTTTCCCTAAGGCTAGCCAATCTAGCTACAGGGCTGACAGGCCGAGCAGCAGGGACCCTGACCAGCAGGGAGCAGCTCTCCATGTGCTCTGCTTTCTTCAGATCACAGATAAAGAGTAAGTCCCCACTGCCTAAAAGAAAACAATAAGAAAATCCTAACATTAAAGGATGACACACACTTAACTTCAAGTTGGGCTTTGGGAAACTGTGGCCAACTATAAAACTAGTGCTTGGTATTGCTGGCGCGATGATCCCCACTGGTTTGTGTATATTGATTTTATAAGCATGAAAATATATGCAGAGGGGTAAGAAGTCATATCATTTACCTGAACAAACTACTCTGGCAATTGTCTCCAGGGTTGTGATCTGTCACTAAACTGTAATTTCGTGGATTTACTTTCAAAACCACAACACAATTTAGTGGGTCTTTTCCTTCATTTAATCTTATTACTAAAAGGGCATTTATTTTATTTACATGTTATCTATTGTGTGTATGTTGTACGGCAATACAAATGTACCTCATAGAGGTGTGAAAGTCAAGAGGACCTTTTGGGGGAGCTGGCTCTCTCCTATTCCGAGGGATCTTCCTGAGGACCAAACTCAGGTTGTCAGATTTAGTGGCAATCATTTTTACCTACTGAGCTACCTGGAGAGAGGGGTCCTTTCTCATTTTGTTTGTTTGTTTGACTTTTTTTTTTTTTAGAAGGGGCTCAGTGTTAGTCATATCAGTCCTGGAACTATATAGACCAGGATGGCTTGAAACTCACAGAGATCCACCTGCTCTGCCTCCTAAGTGCTAGGATTAAAGACCTGTGCCACCACATCTGGCCCTCAATTTTTGATAAAGATATTAATTCAAAGAACCTCTTGGAGAGAACTCTGGCCTACTGGTTCTCAAACTATTCCATTAGTCCACACATACAGCCAGCCTCCTGTGGCCTCTGGCCACTCAGAACTGTTCTTAGTAGGATGCTGACTCTTGACATTGGTAGCAGGAATGGTGGTCAAGCCGTTCAATGATTTCTCGCCTTTTTTTCTCAATCCCTCACTTAAAGAAAGGAGAGATCCAGCTATGCTTGTTTTCCTATACCATCTGCTGCCTGAAAACTTAGATCAGAAACTGGATTTAAAAACTCAAGTTTTTTAAACTTTGTATACTGGTTATAAATTTAAGCAAACAACAACTAGTGTAGCCCTGTTCAAAAAGCTCAGCCCCAGAACATCCGTGCTCTGAAACCATTCCTGCAACTGATTCTGTGCCTGGAAGAACGCCAAACTTCACCCGTACAGTAAAGGTTTCTGTACTTCACATACAAAAAAATTTCCACCTAGTCCCTTCCTTCACTTGGGTCTACCCCTCTTCTATTTCAGAATTGCTCCAAAGCAAATGCAGTTCTAACCATGCCCTCCATTCTAAAACCATCTCCTTTCTAAAGGCAGCTTTGGCTAATCTCTTTGTTAATCCTGAACATGATCGCTGCCACTTCTAGGATTCATTTAGCCTACTTGGGCCCAGCTACTTCCTACCACGCATACACACCTCTATGACTGAGCTAGGGAACACCGGGCTGCAGTCTCGAATTGACTGAATCTATCATACACACTGTTTTTCCTCAAGGTTCTTTTTCTCTACTTAACAAACCAGAGTGCTCAAAAGCGGAGAGGTCACTCTCACTAAAAGGAGTGACTATGAAAAATCTGAAGTACGGTACAGAGGTGCCCTAGCCAGGTTAATTTAGGAGGGCTCTCCCTTCGAAATGACAAAGTGCCTATTTTAGAGACTCAAATTATAACCTCTGCCCCCACTATCGCAGGTACAACACTGAATTTCCCCACCACCTTATGGGGGAGACTCGGTTCCCTTTGACAAAGAAGTCTTGAACACACAAAGCTTACGTGTCTCACTGGAGATCAGGTTGAGAGGCACATACACTGAGGCCAGCGTACTCAACTAATCCCAAAGCCTTGCCCTTGCTCACCATCCTTGTCTAACCCCTGCTGACTTTGCGCTGAGTCGCTGGCAGCTACTCTAGAAGCCTCCGGGGAATGAGTCGCCCGCCAGCCAGGATGCCGGATGCAGGCGACGGTATCCACGAAAAGGGGGCTCACCTGTAAGCGGCCACGGCGCGGGTCTGCAGGTATTTCTGGGCTGTCATGACTCCCACGAAGAGAAAGTTCCTGTCGCGTGAGACGCCCTCCGTGGCCGAGCCCTGCGGCCAGAGCTGCGCCCCGCGCGCATCGCCCCGCGCTCCGCCGGGTTGCGATGCCGCCTGCCCTGACCGGCATCCCTCGGGACTGGGGCGCCGCCGCGGGCCCACTCGCTTCAGCTCCGAGGCGCGGGGCAGGACGAGCCGCGAGGCCAGCACGAAGCCCAGCACGAGCCCGAGCAGCATGCTGAGCCAGGCGCGGCGGCCGCGCGCGGCC